CATTGTAAAATTGAAAAATCATAAATCAAACCATCGTATATTGAACCATTTTAAGTTGGGACCATCTATATCATTGAAGTTTTGTTTTTTTTTTTTTTTTTTTTTAGTGCTACTGCACCATTAATGAGTATATTTAGCAATAAAACGAACTAATTTAACATAATCTGTTTTGTGTGCCATAACAAAATATCACAGACTAGATAATTTATAAAAACCAGAAATTTAATTCTCACAGATTTGGAGGCTGGGAAGTGCAGGGTCAAGGTACTCACAGGTTAGAGCTCAGTCTCTTTGCATCTTGGAATGTTCTGGCCTCTGGAGGGGAGAAATATCTCTCACATGGCAAAAGAGAGGAGAGTGAGTCCATTTCTGCAAGTATTAATCCATTCCTCAAGAAGCCACCTTTATGACCTAAGCATTAGGCCCCACTTCCCAACACTCTTGCATTAGGGATTACATTTCAACCTGAGTTTTGGAGAGGACAAAAAACATTCAAACCATAGCAAACATAAATGTTTATTTTTATGTCAAGAACTGAAAGGTCTGAGATTTTACCCTACTTGCAAACTAGTCAAAAAAAGGAATATTACAGCAACAGAAGAAACTAGAGTAACAGCATTTGCACCAGTTCCCTAAGCTTCAGTGTTCACAGAGTGACACAGAGGACTAGCTGACACCTCAATCCATGCCAGGTTGAATCATGGGAGGAGAACCTTGAACTTATAGAACCTTTATCTTTGACAATAGGCAGCAAGCATATCTGTCTTCTGTATAGAAACATCCTTCAAAAGATCGTTATGAAATGAAGCAGTTGGTACTTCTACTCTCAAGATGAACAGAGATGTAAAGAATTGTCTTTCAACATTTTGGAAGGCAGAAAATCAAAATGGGGGTTTGTAACATAGGCCTAAAATAAGTGACTTCTAGATTTTAGATAGCAGAGGATCTATTTTTTGAGTGTCTTTGTATTACTCACTGTTTTTTACTACTGGTGAAAGATACTCAAACCTCTGTTTTGGGGAGTTTGTCTACCTTCCTTACATCAGTGCTTTTGTTTCTCTATAAAAACTCAAATAAGTGAAAGCAAGTAAGTTGATGCAATGGTATGATTTTAATTTAGTAAAAATTTGAGATGTAACATTTTAGATGAGAGGTTAAAAAATGATGGGAACTAGCTGATGTATCAGGGCAACTTTAGGTATTCAGACTGGATTTCTAAGATCTCTTAAAATTCTTCCAAGTGAAATTTCATTGAGCATTGGAAGAGAAGTGTAGCCCTTCATTGTAAAGAATGCAAAAAGCACAGAGCAGTGGTTCTCAACCTTCCTAATGCCTCCTAATACCACGATCCTTTAATATAGTTCCTCATGTTGTGGTGACCCCCAACCATAAAATTATTTTTGTTGCTACATCATAACTGTAATTTTGCTAGTTATGAATCATAAAGTAAATGTCTGATATGCAGGATGTATTTTCATTGTTACAAAGGGGTCACGACCCACAGGTTGAGAACCACTGACATAGAGGCTTTACTAGTCTAGGCAACCTCTAGTCCAGCCGCTTAGACTAGAGGTTGTTATCATAAGGTGTTGGAAAAGTCATTCTACATAGGGAAAATGGGAAACTGTAGCTAAAAGTACTAGTATTTATGAAATATTTTTAATAGAATTTTATGAAATGTTTATAAAATTTGTATTCTCTATATGTTAACCACCTCTTTGTAAAAAATTTTTAATGAACAATTGTAAATATAGGTATATTTAGTTAGAGTTTCTCATTTTCCCTATGTATGGTGACCTTTGGGTATAGATCTTTTATTTTGGATCTCTCGACTTGTTGACCATCTTTTTGGCTCCTTCAGTATGTTATTTTGATTGTACTCTTCTGTCTCTTCCTGTTCTTTTTTTAAACCTTGATTTCTTTCTATGCTGTCCAAATGATAGGCTTTACTAAGATTGAGCCTTGTGTCCTATTTCCTCCATGCCTGATCTCTCACTAGCCTCCCCTTATACATCTCTTCTGTTGTAATAGCAAACCTTGTGTGCATGTAACTCTGAAGTCTGCTTTTCTCTAGTGTTCCAAAGACACATTTCCAACTGGTCACTGAACATTTCCTTTCAGATGTTATTCCAATATCTCAAAAACTTTATGATTCTAGTTTGAATATATTTACCAAAGGGGCAAGGGCAAAAGCATGTTGTTATTTTAACATCTTACTCTCTGAGAAGTTCTCCCTGTTATTTTGATAAACCTTTATAACCTAATGTTTTTAATGGCTATTGTTTTGCAAGGCCCATTTTATATTTGTTAAATATTTGTATTCTCATATTTACTACGTATTTACTATCAGTTTGTCATACTAACGTTGCCAATACTAAGCATGCGGATTTTCGTCTTTGTCCTCTGCATTCTACCATTTCCCTCCTACCTATCCCCTTACTCTGTCCATTCACGCAAGCACAAAATATCATTAATGCTGTAATATACAAAGTATTTATATGTTTATCATTGACTTTTTAGTCTGTATTTATAGAGTAAAAGGTAAATCTTGTGTTACTTCCTTTTTGCAGGTCTCTGTGCCTTGCGGAGAGTCCTGAGGAAACAGCCTACCCTCCCTGATAGCAAAGTTGCTGGCGTGGTGAAGATCACTCTGAATGATTTCTTGCAGGCAATGAATGCCATCAGGCCCAGTGCCATGAGGGAGGTAGCAATTGATGTCCCAAATGTAAGTCAGTTATGCTCAACAGTAGTAACACTATTAATTCAAAGTCCAAAAGAAATTGAGACTAACTTCCTAAGCTAAACTTAAAAAAAATGCTTTAAATTAAATTTTGTTGAGATAATTGTAAATTCAATGAAGTTGTAAGAAGGAACATAGGGGAGATCCTAAGTATCCTTCACCAGTTTCCTCCAGTGGCAACAACATCTTGCAAAATTATAGTACAACAGCACCACAAGCAGACTATCCATATTGATATTCATTGCAGAATTTTATGAAATATTTACAAATATATATTCTCTACATGTTAACCACCTGATCTTATTCAGATTGCCCCTATTTTACTTGCACCCACTTGCATGTGCATGTATGTGTTTAGTTCTGAACTATTTTATCTCATATAAAGGTTTGTATGTGTGTATTCATCACCATGGTCAAGATAATAAACAGCTTCATCACCACAAAGATCCCTCATGTTGTCTCTCATAATAATACCTACCTCATTCCACCCTCATTTCTAAAATTTTAATGTAGTCTTACAGTATGCAACCTTCTGATATTAGTGATTTCCATTTACTATAATTCCCTGGAGATTCATCCAAGTCATATGTGTCAATAGTTTGTTCCTTTCTGTTGCTAAATAGCCTTTCATGGTATGAATGTATTGCAGTTTCTTTAACTATTCACCTGTTGAAGGAAATTTGAGCTATTTCTAGTTTTTGGCTATTACTAATAAAGCTGTATATAGGCATGGTGTGAATGTAAGTTTTTATTTCTCTGGAATAAATGGCCTAGAGTGAAATTGCTAGGTTCTATACAAATTACAAAAGGTTTAGCTTTAGAAGATACAAACTGCTAATTTTAAAACCAAAAAAACCTAGTTCTAAACTTATGATGCCTAATGTTTCCTTGAGTTCTTTTATATATAATTCATCAGTGACAGTCTTTGCAAAAAGTTCTTAGTCAAAATACCACAAGGACGGCAGAAGCATCTTTTGTGTATGCATCTTTTGTTATATTCCCCATAATCCCAATGAGCCTGATGTTTAGGGAAAAAATGGCCTTATAGTTCTTTTTGAATATGTTAACATTTCTAGAAAATGAACATTGAAATAAAGTGTTGGCAGTTTGTCCTGCATTATGTTGAGGTAGGGGATTGGCTGTAACTATTGGCTGGTGCATAAAGAGAATGTCTATGTCTTAGTGTAGACTGGGGAAAATTTAGATTATACTTTCTGTTAGAAGAACTTTGATGGAAGAATGTGACTGTTCTTTCTTTCCAACTTTATTGTCCCGTTTCTTTCTCTGTTTTGAAGTAGTCCTGTTGCTTCTGAGGTCCCCCCCCTAGTTTTATTGAGGTATAATTAACAAAAATTGTATATTTTTATGGTGAACATGTGATGTTTTAAAATAGGATACAGTGTGAAATGATTACTGTAATCAAATTAATTAACATATTCATCACCTCACATAGTTAGGATTTTTTGTGTATGATGAGAACATTTATGATATCTTTTAGCAAATTTCAGACATATAGTTCAATATAACTATAGTCCTTGGGCTGTATATTAGATCTCCTGGGTGTATTCATTCTATGTAACTGGAATTTTATATCCTTTAACCAACATCTACTCATTTCCTCACCCTGTAATCCCTGGCAACCACCATTTTACTCTCCGTTTCTTTAAGTTCAACTATTTGTGTTTCTGTGCCTTGCTTAGTATAATGTTCCCCAGGTTTATCCATGTTATTATCAATGACAGTATTTTCTTTAAAGGGTATATAATATTCCATAATATGTATATGGAACTCATCTGTCAATGAACACTTAGATTGATTCCATATTTTGGTTATTGTGAATAATACTATAGTGACACAGGAGTGCAGATATCTCTTCAAGTTACTAATTTTATTTCTTTTGGATCTATACCAAGTAATGACATTGCTGGTTTATTTTTAATTTTTTTTTTTTTTTTTTTTTTGGACAGAGCCTCAAGCTATCCCCCTGGGTAGAGTGCTGTGGCATCACAGCTCACAGCAACCTCCAACTCCTGGCCTTAAGCGAGTCTCCTGCCTCAGCCTCCCAACTAGCTGGGACCACAGGCGCCTGCCACAATGCCTGGCTATTTTTTTTTGGTTACAGCCATATTGTTGTTTTGGTGAGCCCGGGCTGGATTCGAACCCACCACCTTAGGTGTATGTGGCTGGTGCCTTAGCCACTTGAACCACAGGTACTGATCCTATTTTTAATTTTTTGAGGAACTACCATACTGTTCTCCATAATGGCTATACCAATTTACATTCCTGCCAACAGTGTACAATATTGCACAATTCTTATATATTTGAAAATATTCAGCTTTTTTCTTGTGTGTAGTTATATTTTTTCTTTAGCAAAAAGAATGAATCTGGAGGCATCATGCTACCTGATTTCAAAATATACTACCTACAACATGTTTTTATATGTGTATATAATATACACGTATAAATACATATAAATCTATAAATATATACTTACATAATACATGCATTTCAAAATATACTACAAATATATTTTATACATATATACATACTACATTATATATGTATTGTATATATTTACATACCTAGGTAAATGTTTTTGACAACATTCTTTTCTCTACATTCTTGTCAATAGTTATCTTTCATCTTATAGTAATGGCTATTCTGTTAATAATAGCTAGGAGGTGATACCTCATTATGGTTTTGGTTTGCATTACTCTGGTGATCAGTGGTGTTGAACATTTTTTTGTATACCTGTTGGCCATTTGTTAATCAGGTGTTTTGTTTTTTTTCTTATTGAACTGTTAGAGTTCTTTGTATGTTTTGGATATTAACCTCTTATGTGATTTGTGATTCACAGACCTTTCTATAGGTTATCTCTTTACTCTGCTTTGCAGGCTTTTTAGTTTGATGCACTCCCATTTGTCTGTTTTTATTCTTATTAATTATGCTTTTGGGGTCATTTTAACAAATGCATTGGTCATGTGCAGTGGCCCATGCCTGTAATCCTAGCACCCTGGGAGGCTGAGGCAGGAGGATCACTGGAGCTCAGGAGGTCTAGACCAGCAAGAGTAAGACCCTGTCTCTACTAAAAATAGAAAAATTAGCCAAGCCAGGATTTGTGATAGGCAATGGTAGTCCCAGCTACTTGTGAGTCTAAGGCAGGAGGATTGCTTGAGCCCAAGAGGTTGAGGTTGTTATGAGCTGTGTTGATGCCACTGCACTCTACCCAGGGTGACAGAGTGAGACTCCGTATCAAAACTTTTTGTTTCATTAATTTTCTGAATTATTTTTTTATTTTCAATTTCATTTATTTCTGATTTAATTTTGGTTATTCCTTTCTTCTGTTAGGTTTGGGATTGCTCTTCTTTTTGCATTTTCTTAAGGTGATTCATTAGGTTGTTGATGTGTTCTCTTTCTTTTTTGGATGTAGGCATCTAATGCCATAAATTTCCTTCTTAGGTCTACTTTTGCAGTATCCCATATGTTTTGGTAACTTGTAGCTTCACTGTTGTCATGTTTGAGGACTTTAATAATTTCCTCCTTTATCTCCTGACCCAGTAGTCATTTAGCATAAGGTAGTTTAATTTCCATATCTTTGTGTGGTGATAAAAATTTTTGTTGCTTTGTGGTCTAAAAAGATACGAGATGTAATTTCAATTATTTTGATTTTGTTGAGTTTTGATTTGTATCCTGTGTTCCACTGGCTATATATTCCTTAGCTTTGGGATGATGTGTTCTGTCTTAATATGTCTATTAAGCCCATTTGTTTTAAGGCCACATTTAAGTCCTTTGTATCTTTGTTTAGTTTCTGTTTAGAGGATCTGTCCAGTTCTGCCAAAGGCATGTTAGTCCTTAGTTATTATGATGTTATAGGATATCATATTGCTCAGACCCATCAAGGTCTGTTTCATAAATCTGGGAGCATTTAAGTTGGGTATGTAAATATTTAGAATTGAAATGTCATCTTGTTATGTTGTCTCCTTGACCAGTCAATCTTTGTCTTTCTTAACTTTAGTTGCTTTAAATTCACTTGTACCTGAAAATAAGATTGCAGTTTCTCCTTTCTTCATGTTTCTATTTGCCTGAAATATTGTTTGCCAGCCCTTTACCCCAAGTCTTATTTTGTCCTTCAAGATTAGGTGTGTTTCCTGGAGATAGCATATGGGTGACTTGTGTTTTTTCATCCAATCAGCCAGCTTATGCCTCCTCAGTGAGGAAATTTGAGCCATTTACATTTATTGAGAAAATTGACAAGTGTGGCAGGGTTTGATTCATATTGTTTTGTGAAAGTCCATTGGTTAGTTTTATCCTTTGCACCAATGTGGAAGCTAGGTTTTGTTCTTTAGTTTCTGGGTGTTTACTTTGCTGGTGGTCTATTGTGATATTCAGTGTGGAAAGTAGGTTTAAGTACTTCCTGAAGAGCTGGTCTTGTGGCAAGTTTCTGATGTTTGCATATCAGTGAATGATTTGATTTCTCCATCAATTTTGAAGCTTTGTTTAGCAGGATACAGAATTCTGGGCTGAAAATTATTTTGTTTAAGAAGTTTAACAGTAGATGATCATTCTCTTCTGGTTTGGAAAGTTTTAGTTGAGAAGTCTGCTGTCATCCTGATAGATCTACCCTGTAGATCAATTGGCCCTTACTCATGGCTGCTTGTAGAATTTTCTTTGTTGTCTTGACTTTGGACAGGTTTATTACAATATGTCTTGGTGTTACTGTATTTGTGTTTAGACAACCGGGGTTTGATATCCCTCTAAAAGGATTTATTTCTGAATCTTAGTGAAACTGGGGAATTTTTCATTTATGATATCCTCCAGTAGGGCTTCCATTGCTTTAGGATGTTCTTCTTCCCCTTCAGGGATACCTGTAGTTTATATGTTTGAATGCTTTGTGAAGTCCCATAATTCTCTGAGCAAGTATTCGGCTTTCTTTCCCTTCTTTTCTGTCTCTTTAACTGCCTGGGTTAACTCAAGAGCTTTATCCT